ACATGACCCCCGCTGTCGTAACAATATTGTGATGCAATAATACTCAAAAAACAACGATAAAAATTCAGAAAGTTCTAGTAACATGATACAACAATATAAAAATCACTAACTTATAAGAATTGAACGTACATGCTACGTAACATATGATTCATATACAATTACGTAAACAAACTTGCCATAAACTCTTCTAAAAATAACTTAATATGACACCAACCCTATATAAACTATCCAAGTTATAACGCTCGCATTAAACTTAAACTGAAAAAGTCGTGTGTATCTAATAGCTACATGTGATCTTGATCACAAGCAAGCTTCTTGTGTCTCGGAAAGAAACTATAAAGTGATTATGGGTTTGTGGCTTAAGCATTTTTGTAGTTTTTTATTTTCGTACAAGGAAGGAATTGAGAATTGTACTAATTTTAAACCCATTTGAAAATTACCCACTGGACAAGACTACACAGTATATGATATATAATCTAGACCTTTGACACTTCTTACTGAACAGAATGAAGTACCTATTTAAAAACTGATTGCTGCAGTGATATACCAATGTTTTTTACCAGTAAAAGAAAAGAATTGCCACATGACGACAAAGGTACAGTAATATGTAGCTTTGCTGCTTTAGTAACTAATATAGCATTTGACGTATAATTAGAATAGTTACCTTGTATTGTGCTATGCATATGTCTGGTGTTTTAAATTACAAAGTTTATGTTTAATCCATGAATACCTATACAGAATATTATAATTCATCTCTATATATAGAGGAGTACAACAACAATCTTTACTATAGATTGTATGTATCATATTAACTACAATGTTATGTTAAAACTATATACTCGTCGCCTATTTAAAATTGCTAGATATTTTTGCTTTCAGACATTGCTAATGACACAACCCAGTCACCATCTTAGTCTTTCTCTGGTACCAGCGATGAATGTGAAGCTATTGAGCTATATTCTAGTGGTGATGACAATGATGATATGCAAACTGGTTTACTTGAGCTTCAAACTTCTTCAAGCACGGATAACTCCATTCTTCCTGAACCATCACCATTACTCTGCACTACGGCAATCGTGGATTCATCAGAGAATTGTCATTGTATTTCTGTAGTCACTGAGCCATGCATTGACACTGGCAGTTCAGTGACACCAACAAAATCACTTGATGAAAAATTACAAGCTATTAGTAATCTATCAAATGCTGAGACGTTTTTTATCCTTATAAGGATATGGCCTCACTAAAAGTTTTTCCTACCATCTTTTCTCATGGGTGTAACCACAAGTTTAAAATAGCTTGGCTTGAAAATACCCATAGTTATTATATAGCCTAAAATTGGAATGCATTTTTTGTGGTCCTTGTGCTACCATTTTTTTTGCACTGTTCATAGTCGACATGATAAAGTGGTACTTCTCAACAAATCATTTAACAATTAGGTAAAAAATGATTGATATTTTAAGCAACCATTATAAGCTTGTTTATAATCGTGATTCTATGCACGCTGCTGATGCTTTGAAGGCTTCCATTGCACATCCATACTTAATAAAACTGGTTTATTCTTTCCGAATACAACTTTACGCTACACTTGATTTCAACAATCGCTCTATA